GGAACGAAACAGGTCGGAATTTTTTTTTCTTTCAAAAGTGTAGCCTCGTCTGTATGTGAGTACTTCATTGTTCAACCAGTACAAATGACCATAGGTCCAACGTGAGGTAATGACTTTAAATAGCAGAGGCAACAACATCAACAACAGCAATGATTAGAAATAACAAGGGCAATAACAGGAGGAACAACAACAACAACAACAACAACAACAACAACAACAACAACAACAACAGCAGCAGGTGCAGCAGCAGCAACAACAACAAAAACAGCATCAACAACGGCAGCCACATCCAAATTGGTTATACGACATCTAAAGCTTTAATCTCAATCGTATAAAGATTCTCACCTGTAATAAATTCTCCCAGAAGCAGTGGTGTCGATGTCGGCGAGGAAAACAGCAATGATGTGCAGCCCATGCGGCAGTGGGATATCGGCCCGGTAAGCGGGAACCTCGCTCTCGAACGATACGTGACCGTTGACATTGATCTGAGGAGGGGAAAAAAGAGGAAATTAAATAGACATTGACAATAACAATGTTACGTGTCACGACACAGAGGAATCAAGCGCTCGTCAATTTTTGGGCCACACAGAGTGATTGATATCACCTTAAAGCGTGTTCGTTCTTCAAACTTTTGAGGAAAAATATACCCGTCTATTTTGAAGAGAAGTCGAGATACTTGCCGTTAAATGAGGTAATTGCCGCCAAGTGTCAAAGAAACAATTAAGGAAGAAAATGGCCGCCTATGTTTAATACACCAAAGCTTGAGAGTCCTTAAAAACTGCAAATGTAAATTTGTTTTGTCCTTGATCAATGTTTTGTAGTAAAATAAAATCCACAAAGAAAGATGTTTTCAATGGACAAGAAGAGTCAATGTGCATGTGTGTGTTTGTGTGCAAGAATGTATGCGTGTTTGTGTGTGTGAATGTGTGTATGGGTGTTTATGTGATTAAGTGTGAGCGCGCGCGCCCGTGTGTGCATGTGTATGTATGTGTGTTTGTGTGTGTGTGTGTGTGTGTGTGTGTGTGTGTGTGTGTGTGTGTGTGTGTGACACTTTTGTAAAGTTCGTTCACTCCATTTTTCGCCCAACTTAAACATATCTATGTCAGACCTGAATCTGATCATGCCCTTCAAAAGGAAAGCAACAATTATAATATGTGAAATGCAATGCTGAACAAATGTTTTAACAAAAACAAGACACGTCAAGTTTCTTCATTACACTGCAAGAGACGTGGTTATAATTCAAGATATCCATCTTTATATTGGCCAACAAAATAATGCAGTTGTAAGATCACTTAACTCATTTACCAGCACACCGCCCTGCCCAGCGTGAAGGTGCTACAAAATACTACGGACGTTTGAAGACTGCGAAGAAAGGCATCATTTGATGTCTTCAAGGAGACTCTGGTATTTTGCAACACCCAACTAAGTCAGGTTTATTTTTATTTTTTCTTCCCACTACACCTGTTGGAGCACAGTCAGTAGACAAAAGAAGGTAACAAATCATGTTTGCACCTAACTAGCCCCAAATAGCCGACCTCATCATTATGCATCAAAATAGCTGTGAAATACAAAGAGCATGCTGTTGAGCGTGGGTATACGCTTATAACATTGCAGTTATTATTAATATTTCATCTTGTAATATATTTTTATAACCGATTTTATGTGAAGTTAGAGCACGCCTTCTGAAAAGTCACACAAACTTGAAAAATACGGGAAGAGAGGAAAGACGCCCCCCCCCCTCCCCCCCCCCACCGTTTTCGCCAACTTTTTGAAAGCTTCAACCATAGCTCCTTTCCTCATAGGTTACTGGCCCTTGACCGATGCAGCAGAGGTCAGCAGAGTGTTATTTACCGACCACCTACGACCAATGGTGCTTATCTTGAATGTCATAACAAATGTTTGGAGCCTTAGCAAATTTGCTCTGTGTCAGTTAACAGTAGTATGGTAGGTCATTAAATAAATTTTCAAATAACACTTGACACTGTTCTGTATTGCATTGCACGGAGTAGGATACCCTGTTTAGAAACACACGGTCCCACAGCGCACCAATGGGAGGTGCAACCCCTTGAATGATAGGATGAAAAACGTTAACAATAAATGCCCAGCTGATATACATATCTGATATCTACTATGGTGTATCTTATCCGCCTGTTTTTCCATTCTTCTTGGGGTTTTTTTTATTCATCAATAAGTCACCCGTTTTTGAAGTAGCCAATGCGTGTTTTATCCCCCCTCCCTTCCTTTCTAAGAAATAAAACTAAAAGGACATAATGTTAGTAAGGAAATCTATTGTGGGCTTATTTTGCTGTCACGATTTGCCTGGTGTAATGATCTGATGAATCTTTTTGAAATAAAGATAATAATAATTGAATTTATATAGCGCACATCCATGCTCAAGAGCATGCTCTATGCGCTTTACAACAATTATTACCCCAGCAGACCCCCTGAGAACACTCTGAAACATTCTCGGCTTCCACGGAAGCATACAGTGCAAGCTGCG